CGTCAGGGGGTTGGACTGGGTGACCCACAGAGGTCCCTTCCAACCCCGAATATTCTGTGATTTTGTGATTCTGTGAAATCCAGGTGACATATGAGAGACATGTACTCTGCAACAGTGGTGGAGGGGAATGTCATACACACTTGATGTCAAAGTGGTACCTGACAACTCCTTCTCACGGTCAGCCTCCTCCTTGGCTCAAATCAGTCCTGCAAGGTCCTCAGCTGCGCTAATCATTCAAGACCCAGCAGCACAGGCACTGGTAATTTGGTCGTTTATCTTGGCTTGCAACTCAGGAGGCTATGGGTTTGTCAGGGTGATTTCCTGAAGCAGCATGCTGTTTTCTCTGAAGTGAGCTGTGTAGCCTCCTGGATTCAAAACCTCTGTTGGTGAGTAGTTTCTTGGAGTGATAGCTGGTCTGGCATCAGTGTTGAACCAGCGTGGATAGAGAGGGTGGAAGCTTTCACCTGGAGATAGAGGATTAGGGATGACAGTCAGAAAAAGAGGATTCTCCCCAAAGGGATGGATAAATGTGAAATAACAGGAAAATAGACATTTCAGTGAAGCAGTGATGGAATATGAATGGTCAGATTTTGAGATGGCATGGGTTAGATGCTGCGGTGGACCGCAGAGCTGATGTGGAGGAAACAGTAGACAAAGGGTAACAGTGGAGACACCTTGCAGGGCAGGGGAGGCCAGCAGGACTATGGACTGGCTCTGCTGCATCTCTTTCCTGGGGAGTGGAGAAGCGTACAGGAGTGGATAGCTGCAGGACTGTCAAGAGGAGACTCACTCATCTTTTGCGTGGTGTCTGAGCTTCTTCTTCCAAGAGCGTCTCCTCTCCCTCCACCTAGCTCCTCTTCCCCCAGAGTTTGGTAGGGTGCTACTACCGTTCTCTTCGGTATGGGAAAGCTGAATTAAAGCAGAGAGTTTGGCATGTACTTCAGTAACTGTTGGCCTAAATGAATGAAGCATTCCTAGTCCTGTGCTTCACAGTTTACTGATTGCTTTGCCTTTTCGTATCAAGCTATTCCGTGTTGTATGAGTTTCTTGGGGAAAAAAACCATTGTTATCAGTAAGGTTAAACTCCCAGTGTTTACAGGAAAAATGTAGGGGCTAAAAAGGGCTTAAACCTATAATCACACAAAAAACTTTCTAGATTTCAGGAAAAAGTAGAAGTTTTCTCTTGATGACCGATTTGAGTCTTGCTATGTATGTCTAAGTCTAAAGGCCCGAGTAATTTACATAATTGATTCCCCTGTTGGTAGTCCCTGAAGCTGAGGATATTTACTGAATGCTTCTGGATTTATTTATCATGCATACCTAAGAGACCATGATGGATCCATCAAATAGCTTCATTTTATACAAATCAGGAGGCAAGAATATGCTGTGCATATTTTATCACCGTAGAGGAAATGAATGTGTTGCCTGTGAGCTCTGAGTGGTGGGGAGTGCAAGTCTGGTTTGTAGTATTTCAATGACAGACTACATTATGAATCAGCAATAAGCACTACTAATCACTGTCAATTATCACCAGTGAACTTTGACAGTATGAGGTCTGGGTTTAGAAGAGTCCTTTGGCAGTTGCTCTATTATCAAGCACAAAAAAGCCCAGAACATCTACTGTATTTTATGAATATTAAATGAAGAGGTGACTGTGAAGAAGCATGGCCCAGCAGATAGACCAATGGGCTGGTAACCAAGAGACCTGGGTCTTATGTGACCACGTGGGCATCAGTTCACCAGGCCTCTCCTGTCTTTGCTTTGTCCCGCAAACTCATGGGAACAAAGGCAAAGTGCTTGTACACAATGAGGCCCTGGTCCTAGAGAGAGTCTAAAGGCCTTGTCTTTATCAAATAATGAATTTTATCCACAAATGACTAGTTCTAGAAGGATCACACAAATATCTTGACATTCTTTCATCACAGCCTACAGCTAATGGATTTGTGGCCTACATACCACATGCATACCAGTTTACCCTGATGGAGATACGATTTGTACTGGTGTTGTACCAAACAGGAGGCATACTGCAACAATATGAAAATCTCTAGATAGGAGGACAACTTATTACTCTCCATGTAGTAATTTGTATTACATTTTTGTCTATATTTGGCAATAGACAAAGGT